CGGTTGGTAGCAATTGACTGTAATATGTAGTAGCACTCATGTGAAAACAGATCACGAGTACATGTAAATTGTAATTTATCAGGGGGGAGAAAAAAACTACACTAGGTTACGCTGCTATCTAGTGAGTGCAGCCACTCACTCGCTCACACAGCTCGCTGCTCGCAAATGATTTTCGGGCTTGTTTTTCAGCTAGAAAGTTTTTCCAACAAACAACTGAGAACTGGTAGGGGTACTAGTACAGAGGAATGCGATAGGGACCGCAGCGCACACACCTCTGTCTGACCCGTCCAAAGGCCCCCCCGGCCCTGTCCTGTCCGGAGCGAGTCACCATTGCGTAAGCGCCCTAGTCATGTTGTTTGGCATCTCCCGGTTCATTCTTATCATTCCCATGCATTCCAATAATAATCCGATGCTTAATAACCATAGCCCGGCTAGCTAGCTCTCTTTTTACAGCAGCAAGTGCCCTGAAATGACACGGGATCGTTCAGTTGTGACGATGAGTGTTTTGGAGCCTGTGCGATTTGTTGTTTGCTAAAAAAGATGGATCCACCCACTTGCCGTTCTGAAATATGTGAGGAAGTACCAATGGCAGTATCATCATAGTACAGAAAGCAACCCTTTAACCTAATTATTAGAGCCTATGCAATTTAATTGTCTTGCTAAAAGATGGAACCACCCATTTGCCCTTCTCACATGTGTAAGGAAAGGTTTTTCAAATATAATCGATAGCATCGTACTACAGAAAGCAACCCTTTGACCTAATGCTCAGAGAAACAACATATCATCTGAAGATACTCTCAAGTTGTTTGTACCCTCGTAAATAGTAGAACAGAAATATCTTAATGGTCTATTTTGATTTTTCTCTCTTTTTATAAGCTGCAGTAGTTGCGGAGCTAGCTCATGAGCCCTTTTATATCTCTACTAGTGGTCGGATAGTTAATATACGTACTGTTTGTATCGGTTACAACTTACCTTGAACTATGTTGGAATACAAAGTCCTGAGAAATGTGACAAGAGAAAGAAAAGCTGATCGGATAACAATAACTCTCACTAAGACCCTTTTTTGGAATACAAACTTACCTTGAACTATGTTGGAATGCATCTGATTTTCTGCAGTATTTGCTAAAAGAGCCTATATGTTACCCCCAGCATCTGATTTTCTGCAATACTATCTGTTAAAAGAGCCGTGAATGTAGGAGTACTATTATGGAAGTGCAAAAATAATACTGCCAGCACCATCAATCAAAATAAGATATGTGATCGCTCAAATCAAGGTGGAAGTGTACACATCAAGTTTTGGAGCAAAGGCCACACTACAGCAGGTGTAGTTCAGGATCTGGGATATCCCAATAGATCAGAGATCCATTAGGACCGTTGCAAAGGTTGGTGGATTGGTTGGCAAGGTGCTTGAGATCGATGAGAAAACAAGATTTAGGCATGACTATGTAAGGGCAAGAATTGCTTGTAGAGATATCACTAAGGTTCCAAGGACTGCTGAGAGTTCTCTGGGACTAGCAGTGCATGATTTTCATTTTGAAAGGGAGGTGGAAGTTGAAGGCCCTGAGAAAACTCTTAAGAGTGGAATTAAGATAACTGAAGGTGGCTATCCCCCTCCCCCCCAAGAAATTCAAAGCGGCTGAGACTAACAACAAAGAATCTGGCCAAACCAGTGGGAAAACCATAACACTTGGAAAGGGTACAGCTGAAGAGAAAAGACAGAGTAACAATGTTACTATGTCTGCACCATCAAAGATTGGTGGGAAATATGGAACTGGGAGAAATCTATATAGACAACTGTGGGGGATGATCTTGGTGGTAAAGTGCATATTCCAGACTCATTTGAGAACTCTGATTCTGACAGTGAAACTCTTAGTGACCTAATCAGAAAGATTGATGGCTACGGGGATCTTGGACAAGGTTGTTCCAAACACGGCAACGGTGAAGACTCTCACCAAATCTGGTGTATGGATAATACTGCTATTGGTGAGAACATCAAACAATATCAATGCAACAAAGAAGACTTGGAGACTTCTATTCCTTCTCTTCTGGATCAAAACAAGGATGTTTCTGTTCCTAGTCAGCAAGTGGTTATCCCTGCTCCTACTGAAGTAGAAATCTCTGAAGATGCTATAGTGAATACTCAAGAGAGTGTGATATCTAGGAAGGATACTGTGGAACAAGATGGACAGCTCAAGAATCTCTCGCAGAATGAAGACGATGCAAAGCCCAAATGAAGATGCAAGGCAAAATCAGGAGGAGTGAACGCCTCAGGAATGACATCACGGTTACAACCAAGGAGAAAAATGAGAGGATGGCCAGGAAGAGAAACTTAGAAGGTAACCCCTTGCTACCAACATGTTTTCTGATCTTCCTGTGGAATCTATCAATTGTCTTTCTGCTGATATGGGTATTGCAGTAGATAATATTAATTTTGGTACTTTCAATATGCTTAAGGACCTTGAGATTGCTAGACACAATCTTCATATTAAGCATACTAAACCTGTTGTTAATGAACAAGATGAAGAGGTTTTAGAGGATAATGACCTACATGAGAGACTGATTGAATGGCTGCAGGATGAACCCTCTGAGACAGAGAGTGATATCCTTGCACACTCAAAAAATCAGGGAGATTATCAAAAAGAAACTAAAGATTTCTCCAAAAATAGTAAAAAAACAAGTTCAGGAAGATCCTGGCTTGGATAAGAGGGGAGATGGAGGTAAAGTTGGCCTTCACTCGTCCAAACAGAAAAAGAAAAAGTTAAAAAATGATATTACAAGCTCTAGTATGGAACTGTAGAGGCCTCAGGAAAAAAGGGTCTCTACATTTCTTAAAAATCTCATCTCCCAATATCAGTTTGATTTCATTGGTTTGCAAGAAACTATGGTAGTTGACTGTGATAATTCTCTGTTCAAAAAGTTTGACAGCCTCCAGCAATATCTCTGGGAATGAATTCCTTGCAGAGGGAAATCTGAAGGGATTCTAGTAGGCATTAAGATGAGTAGATTTGATGTGGGATCTTTTAAAAAGGGTGATTATATTCTACAAATGAATCTTTGGGACAAAGAAATTAGAATGAAGTGGAATTTGATGATTGTTTATGGTGCTGTCCAAGAAGAACACAAAATATACTTCTTGACTGAACTTTCTAGATTCTGTGATGTTAGCTCAGAGCCTTATTTGGTGGGAGGTGACTTCAACATAATAAGGTATATTAAGGAAAAAAGCTCCAATCGGGGGTCCACAAACATTCTGGAATGTTCAACTCCATCATTCATTTTTTCGAGCTGAGGGAGTTAATTATGAGCAAGATCCTCCCATCCTAGAGAAATTGATAGAATTCTCGTCTCTAAGGACTGGGAGGATTTCTTCCCTCATGCTATGGTTAAAAAACTTTCTAGAGAAATTTCCGATCACAATCCACTGATTATTTCTTGTGGAACGCCAAAGAATCTTCCTCACATTCAGTTTAAATTCGATCTCAATTGGCTCAGTAATCCAGAGTTCTTCCCTCTCGTGGAGAAAATATGGACTAAGCAATGTAAAGCTCAAACTACACTCGACAAAATCCAGTAAAAGTTAAAATTGTTTAAGCAATACTTTAAGGGGTGGGGATTCAATTTGCAAGGTGAGCTCAGGAAGAAAAAAAAGGAGCTGCAAATTGAGCTATCTACACTGGAAGAATTGGAAGAGATCTCCACTCTGTCCAGAGGTCAGATCATGAGAAAACAATGGGTTATTTGTGAAAACCTTAAGTTGCTGGAACAAGAGGAAGTGTATTGGCTCCAGAGAAGTCATGAGACATGGCTTCTCAAAGGAGACAGTAACACTGAATACTTTCACAAATGTGCTAACGGTAGAAAGAGGAAAAATCTTGTCATATCATTAGAAAAGGATGGGGAACTTATGTATTTCCGTTATCTTTCGTTATCTGTTCTATTCAAACAAACTCATGTATTTCCGTTTCTCCGTAAATGAAAATAGGGTTCGACCTCGCGTTGAAAAAAAATCAATCAAAATAAGAAGGGCATTAAAAAAAAAGGTGCTTTTGTTGCAGTGGGTGAACCCAATGTAGAGACTGATTTAGGGACCGAAGTACCGAACAAAGGCCGCCATATGCCACCACCAGTCAGGCAGTCACACACAAATTAGGATTGGTAGAGCCCATCCCTGCGCGCTTCGCCCTTGCCTTGCTGGCTCTGACCTCTCCCTCCCCTCTCTCTCCTCTTGTTGCTCCCCCTTCTTTTATTGGGTTTTTTTTGTCTTCTCGGATTTGCGCTTGTGCTCACCTGGGCGCTTACTAGTCCCTGCATCAGAGAGGAGAGACCTCCGAGCCGGGGCTCTTCAAACATATAGATTGGGCAGAGCTGCCTGCCCGCCTGCCGGGTGAGAGTGAAAGAGAGAGAGAGAGCTCACGGTGGGGGCAAAGGAGAATTTTTTTTATCCAGCGTCTTAGCTTGATCCTCGGAGAGCAGCCGCCAGTCCAACTAATCCTTGCTGTTGGCGTGCCGGGGCTTTGATTGCTCTCCAGATCTGAGGCACCTGCTCTGTGGATTCCAGGAATCCGAGCACGAACTCGACAGGGGAGTTCTCAGGGAAAAGGTGAGCCCCTTTTCCTTCTCCCTCCTCATCCGCCCACCATTGCCAAACTGTCCGTCCACCACTGGAGTAATCGCGTAGTCTTAGCTCCGATTGTTAAGCTTCAGCTGTTGCCTCTTGATCTGTTTCTGCTGCCTACACTGTACGACGCTTGATGCATACGAGATAATGAGTTGGCCGCAAGTTTTCTTTGATCCTAGCATACGATCCACCAGCTCACGCGCGCACAAAAATATTGACTTTTTTTTAACTCGCTTTGATTTGATTGCATCTGTTGTTTCGGTTGCGCAGGGGAGGAAGGAAGAGGCTGAAAGGGCGGTGGAGATAAGACTATAAGCGCGAGCTGGGTCCGTTGAGGATGCCGTCAAGAAACCGCGTGGAGGGGAGGGCGATGAGATGAGGGATGCTGGCCGCGGTGATGGACTACTTCAGCTCCTGCTGGGGCCCGCGATCTCGTGCCGGGCACCGGGGCAAGGGCTCCGACGCCGCTGGCCGGCAGGACGGTCTCCTCTGGTACAAGGACGCCGGCCAGCTCGTCACTGGGGAGTTCTCCATGGCCGTGGTGCAGGCCAACCAGCTGCTCGAGGACCAGAGCCAAGTGGAGTCCGGATCGCTCTCCCTCGCTGACCCCGGCCCGCAGGGCACCTTCGTCGGCGTCTATGATGGCCATGGCGGCCCGGAGACGTCCCGGTTCATCAATGACCACCTCTTCAACCATCTCAGGAGTAAGGGCTCTCCATATCTGACAGTTACTGCTGATTGATGATTCCTCCTTTTTTTTTGGCTGCTTAGTTTTAGAGGTACTGATGATGAAGCAATGATCAAGTCCCAACTTTTTCTGTGTTGCTTTGATTCTGGGTTGCATTTCTGTGACTATTAGCATGATGATGATGCTGACTCTGTCTCAAAAAGTGCATTTGTACTTATTGCCTTCAGAATAGAAATGATAATTGGTTTGGTAGATCTGATTGGTAAACTTGCATATGATGATCGGATATTGGATGATAGTTGGAGTTGTATTAAGGTTATCCCAGAACAATGAAACACCGATTTATTTAATTATCTAGCTTGCTTCTGATACTGACTCTTGACTCAAGTGTGTTACATTACTTATTCTTGGTTTTCTTATTAATCTGTTCGGTGTATTGAAACTATTTAGTTTTTTCCAGAATTTGCAACTGAGCACAAGTGTGTGTCAGCGGACGTGATCCGGAAAGCTTTTCAAGCAACTGAGGAGGGCTTTCTTTCTCTAGTAAGCAGGGAATGGTCTATTAAGCCTCAGATTGCTTCAGTAGGCTCCTGCTGCCTTGTTGGTGTAATCTGTGCTGGGACTCTCTATGTTGCAAACCTGGGCGACTCACGTGCAGTTCTTGGAAGGCTTGTTAAGGCAACTGGAGAGGTTGTGGCCATGCAGTTGTCATCGGAGCACAATGCATGCCATGAGGAAGTTAGACAAGAGCTTCAGTCATCACATCCTGATGATCCACATATTGTGGTTCTCAAACACAATGTTTGGCGAGTGAAGGGTCTCATCCAGGTAGACAAAAATCTGTACCCTAGATCAGGTTGCTAATTTTTCACTCTATGGTGTACACATGTCTAGCCAATTAATCTTTGAATTTTTTTGAACTTTTGACGTCATCTGTTGAAGGTAATTTTTCACTCTATGGTGTACACATGTCTAGCCAATTAATCTTTGATTTTTTTGAACTTTGACGTGATCTGGAAGGTCCCGGCAAGCGGTTCTTACCGCCTGTGACCGAAAGGTCCCGGTTCTCTCCTCGCATTGACAGGCGAGGTAAGGCTTGCCACCGACACCTTCCTGCATTCTCCCGCATAGAGCGGGAGCTCTCTGCACTGGCTACACCCTTTTTTTGACGTCATCTGTTGCTCTCATCGTAATCCCACTTTCCTCTTTGTGGGGAGAACGAATAATGTCTTTTATATATGCATTATTTCTCATAAGTTAGGTATCAGGTAAGTTCTCGTTCCTAGAGCTAAAGTTGTCTGCATGCTTTATAGTTATGTCATCATAGGGTCCATCATCAGCTGTCAATAATCAGTGGGATACTTGTCATATATCTCAAAATTTATGGGTGTATGTGCTATTGTTTATTTCTTCATTCACAAAACCATCAAACTAGCTTGCACCCTCAGGTTCTATTGTTGGTTCTTATTCATGTAATTGTGTCAATATACTTTCTAAGATATTACTTATGAGGTGAGGTCATATCTGCAGATCTCAAGATCTATTGGAGATGTATATCTAAAGAAACCAGAGTATAACAGAGAACCTCTTCATAGCAAGTTTCGGCTTCGAGAAACCTTCCAGAAGCCGATTCTTAGTTCTGAACCTCAAATTACTGAACATCGAATACAGCCAAACGATCAGTTTGTTATATTTGCTTCTGATGGTCTATGGGAGCACCTCAGCAATCAGGAAGCAGTTGACCTTGTCCAAAGTAGTCCCCGTAATGTATGTTTTCTTCTCCTGCACTACAACTTCTATGAGTTGAAATCCACTTTTCTTTCAAGGCTTAATACTGTTCCATCTAATTGGGTCTTTGATGGATATGTCCTGAATTATGTTGTGCTTTTATTGAACTATGTAGTATTTTTATTGATAGCAATTCTCTTAAATTGAAAGTACGGATTTAATTGATACTGTGATGATCTTTTGTGCAGTAAGTGAAATATATAAATCAACTGCAGATTCAGCTTTTCAAATACTAAGTTGAATGAATCGAGTCAAAACCTGGATGGTGGAATAAAATAGATAATTAAAATGTGGATGTAACTCACAGTTTATGGCATGCAAGCTATTACATAATTTGATTGCAAAGCTTAAGCATACCTGATACCTGTGGAAGTATATTTGATTAGTTTGTTCTTGTGAAATCACCCAGTCACCATTGCATTGCAACACCTTCAAGTTTCTAACTGTCCGTTTGTCAGCATGTTCCGCCTATCCTTGATTTTCTAGTGTTCTTTTATTCACTTCCTATGAACCTGTAATTTCCTTTTCCCCCAGGGGATCGCTCGGAGACTAGTGAAAGCCGCGATGCAAGAAGCTGCCAAGAAGAGGGAGATGAGATATTCAGACCTCAAGAAGATCGACCGAGGTGTGAGAAGGCATTTCCACGACGATACAACCGTGGTTGTGTTGTTCCTGGATTCAAATGCCATGAGCAAAGCAAGCTGGAGCAAAAGCCCCTCTGTTTCTATCCGAGGGGGCGGTGTCACCCTTCCCGCGAAATCCCTCGCACCTTTCTCAGCTCCGGCCCAGTTGAACAGCACCTACTGAAGTTGCTACTACTCTTGAAAGGAAGAGCACAATGCAGATCTGCAGGAGATATGAAAAGCAGCGTTACACTTACACCTGCTGTGTTGTTGCTCTTTGCAAAACTACTGTCTAGACTCCGCCTGGTAATTAGTGTACTGATAGCGAGGTATAAAAATTAGATTATTTGTTAGCGACGCAAATCCTCTCTCTTTCTCTCCCTCTCTCTCTCTCTCTCTCTCTCTCCCCTTTATTCTTATCCCTTTTCTCTTCATCCTTGAGAGAACAGGTGGTTGTAAATTGTCCAGAACATGTTTTCCCTAATAGTCCATCATATCCCCGCTTTTTTCGTGTTGATATGAAGGCTGGCAGCATCACTGCTAAAGATAATGTTTGGGGGCGCATGATTTGACCAGTTCCGATCAAAGCTTTTGATGATCTATTGTAGCAGCACGTTGCTCTCATGAAGGTAGGTACTGAGCTGCAGCGTTGCGGCCTGTCCGTTTGGATTGGTTTGGCTTATAAGCCATGGCTGAAAGTCGCACGGTGCCCACCGATTTTGTGACCATGATGGCTCGTGGCAGCCTGGCAGGTCGGCACACGACACTAGTGTAAAGGGATAGCCATAATTGAAGCTGTTTTGCTGACGGAATTGGAATCGGACTCGCTCGTCCTGTTCTGCAGCTACAGTCCTTATAGTAAACGAATAGTGTTTTTCCTCTTACATATTTCAGCGTAAACATCAGCATAAGCCAAAATTTCAGCGAAACTCATGGGACAGTGATCCACAAGATTAGGATCAGCTCAATCCAAAGCCAATAGATGTTCCTTATAAAAAATAGAGGTAAAGAGGTTCCTTATAGGCTTGTGTATATGTGGAAAAAACAATAACAAAAAAAAAGGTTAAGATGTTACTTTTTTGAAACTGGGTAGACTTTCATTACTCAGGTGCTAATCAATCATGAGCGACAATTACAGCGACGCATTCAGGGACTAAGCTTGATAATTGCTCATCCCCTTCAGCTCACAAAGACCCCAGCACTGCTAACTTATGCTGTGTGTATAGTGAATGAATATGCAACGTTTTGCTCGTTATATTTTTAGCAGGTTGTAGTTTAAATAAGCCCAAAATTTATGCACGAGGAACTCAGTCATGGGACTTGGAGCCATGATCGGAGGGCAGATTAGGATAAACTCTTAATCCAAAGCCAATAGATGATCCTTATAAAAAATAGAGGTATAGAAAGTTCATGTAAAGGCTGCCCAATGGCTAAGGTCTCCAGCCAGGAATCAGTACATTCCAGACTCCAGAGTATTAATCCAAGAAATTACATTCCACATTCTGCAATCCATACAGGCTTCTTTCAGAAAGATTGACATCGAGCTTGAGAGAACTAGATACAGATGATCTTCACAGGTGATCTTTATAAGGGACAGAGATGTCCATGTATTGTTTGCTATACACAGCTGCTTTCATCTTGAGCGGAAAATAAGCATTTCCCTGACCCTTTTGAAGTTTGAACACGATCCATTTCAGTTAATTACATGCCAAGTTGACAGCTTGATTTCAGATCCTACCTAACAAACAGTGATACCAACAATTGGGAGAACAGAATAAATTCACTGACAACGACGGCAGGGGAGTGGATGCCTAGAAAGGGCACGATATCAACCTGCAGGAAATTCTCCACTGCAGATCCGACAGTCGCACCAGCTGCAAGTCCCCCGACAGTGATCAATGCAGCCTTACCTGGATACAGGACCACAGAAAGTGTTGATTGCATGCTAAATGTACACATGAAGATTGGTAGAAGAGCAGCATTAACGTAAATGTTGAACCAGATTTCCTCTCATAAGCAAACAATGTCATAATAAGCACAAAAAGCAGGTGTAGGGGGTTTCTGGACTTATATGCCAGCGAAACCCACATGCTCACCCCACTGTCAGCACTCTATCTACACATGCAATTCATAATCAACTCCAGAGTACAGTAACATTAAATGGCTGTGAGATCAAATATTCAAAGGACTATAGTGCCAAGGTGCTAAAGGATTATTGCAGACATGTGTAGTTCTGTATACCAGAAATCTGACATACTTTCTATTACCGTAACTGAATATCTGTATATGTTTCTGATGGGCTAATACTATGTGCACCATTAAGATTAGCTAACTTTTATTTTCATCAGGAGCCCTTATCTCTTTGAACCAAATCTCACTGTCACCCAAAACTAGGGACACACACAAGGATAATGCCGCCTGTTTGACTTGGTTACCTGTGTATATCTTGGGAAAACCATGCACCTTATCCAAAAGGCTGACATCGCATGGGACAGACTAGCATTGAATTATGATAGGAATAACACCCTTTTGTCAATTATATAACCTGATGCGAGCAATCTCCTCTTAATCGCCGCTATAGCCAACAACGATTAAGTGGTGGATCTAAGTGGCACCTTTCTTAGTAGTACTGTGGTAGAATCTCTGTGTTTTGTTACTATATCAGAACAAAATGTCTCCAATAAATTAAATGCTTGATAGGCAGTATTAGTTTGTATGAAAACTACCACGACAAAACTGCTTCAAAAAGCAAGGGGTAATATAGGTTCCATATATGATGAACAATGCACAACTTTACGCTACAGGCTACACAAGTATTGCATCAGGGTATTGGCAAAAAGGTGAATGATGTGACTGACTGTCACAGTTGATATGAATTAGGAACCCTTGCAGCTTCAACTTTAGAGAAACATTCTTATGCTTCTACAATAGGAATTGTGCAGGTTTAAAAACAGTGGCGTATAGGTTCCAAAACAGATGCCCAAATGTACCAACATAAAGCACTGGATAACATAGCTATAGATAAAAGTGGTGGATCAATTTACCTAAGTTCATATTTTTCTTTGCCAGGAAGTACAGTGATGCACCAAATCCTGTTGCTAGGATAAAACCTGGCACATCAGGGCTAGTGTACGCAGATGGCAAAGACGTCGAGCTTCCACTAGCATAGGTGAAAACCATTAGTGCACCATAAACACATGACTGGATGCCCAAGCTGTTCGAAGATGGAGTCTCGAATGTAATAGGTGCATTCTTCATTGTTGCCTGCATCCACTTTGGGACTGTCCCAGCTCCTGCACTCTTTACAGGTTTAACATCAGCATAGCGGATGCTGTTATTAGCAACCTTTCCAGCCCTCCGCTGTGATAAACTCTGCATAAGCAACATGTCATAGGCTGCTTCGACCTGAAATGAAGAAGGAAATGGAAGTCAAATATGGCACCAGAGAAGCGTATGAGATTGGATGACATTTGAGAAACAGCCGTAACTACTTGTAAAACTGTCTCGAAATAGACAGTTCAGAAATCAGGGAAGGATCTGAGGAACAGCCACAAGCAAGTGTAGTTATCAAGAGTACGACTTGAAGAAGAAAACAAGAAGGAAATAGAGCTAGTTTATTGGAACAAGAAAGGCTATAAATAAATGTCATAAAATAACAGTAAGATTGCATAAAAAAAATTGAGCACTAGGAACATGCGAAAACAAAGTTACCAAATTTTTTATACTACCTCAGAATATGGCAATTCATATATGACCGTGAGACCATCTCCACCATGGATATGCAAAGATCAATACCTCTTTAAGGGTTAAGCTAACCCACTGCATAGCCCTTTTAGATATCACGCATGATGCATCGCACATCCAAAACGCACGAACCAATGAACAGCCAGTCCATCACCAACCTAATGAGCTATTTAAATTCATCATCCTTTACCTCCACTGTAGTACGAATTGCTTTCATAAACAAATTTTGCTTCTGCATTTGGAAAGTACTACGTAGAATATATGGCAACAATCCCCATCTTTTCACACATTCCCGAATGATCCAGGCGGCTTCTTAATAAGTTAATACTAAATTAGCAACTTCAATCGGAGGTACCAAGGACGCAATAAAGAATCGCCTTATTAGTTTTATTCCCCTAGCGGCTGAGCACAACAAAAGGTGGGCGCGAATGGAATAATAAACGAGTGGGGGGAGGGAGAGTCTCGGGGACCTGGGCGACGGCGTCCTGGTCGTCCTTGCAGGAGGCAAGGACGGAGTTCTTGGCGCGCAGGATTTCGTCGAAGGACGCGCCCTCGGCGACGCCGAGTAGCTTCAGCGCGCCCTCCACCGTCATCTCGAACGGCGCCGGCGAAGAGTCGTCCGCGCGGGAGGCCGACAGGCGCGGCGTCCTCCACCGCGAGCGCGGGAACGCGCAGCACCGCCCCGAGGCCAAGGCCGCGTGCCCGCGGAGCAGGGGAGTGCCGCCGCCGCCGCCGCTGAGGGAGAGGGCCGTCGCCGTGGCCATTATTTCTCGGCTGCGCTCGCTCGGAGAGCCGCTAGTCTGGCGTGCGTGTGCCCTGTTGCTCTGCGCGTCGGCTTCTGCCGTCGCGGATGATTTTTTTTTTCAAGGCCCTCGGGATAATTTTGGGCCTTTTTTGGCAGGAAGTTTGGATAAGCTTTCCAAGTTCCAAGACGGGCCATCATTTTATTCTTCTCTAATAATTGCCCTTGGATGCCACTTGGAAATATTCTTCTCCTTAAAAAACTTGAATTGCTCTTTTTTTAATTAACGCGGGATAATGTACTAACAACAGTCCAGTAACGACGTAACGTTGATAATTTGCTAGAAATGTGCCACATAAACTACAACAATGGTGATAATAAAATATGTGATTCTGAAACAAATTGTCATAAAGCAAGAAAAAAGGGTATGGGCTTATTTTGTGATATTGAGAAGTTTATAATATGAGATGAGATACTCCATCCATCCAGGAAAACAAGTATTTTGAGCGAAGAAAAGACAATTTTTAACCAACAATTACTCAAATTATGTGTAACTATAAATCAACTAATATAAGTTATGTGTCCTAAACTTTTTTTTGACACATAACTTATATTAGTTGATTTATATTCAACTGACTGAGATTAAAAATATATTGTACGACAAATTAATGATAAAAATCCATTTTATATGACTTTTTGTTTGTCAAAGTACCTCTTGCACTCCTGGACGAAGGGAATAGGAAATACAAGGCATAGTTCTTCGGATACAGGGACTAAAGTTGGAGGTGTCACATTAGGGTGTTTGATATTAATTAGAAGAAATAAACATGAGCTAATTATAAAATTAATTATAGAAAGCCTAGACTAATTCGCATGACTAATCTATTAAGCCTAATTAATCCATCATTAGCACATGTTTATTGTAGCACCATATTGTCAAATCATGGACTAATTATACTTAATAGATTCGCCTCGCAAATTAGTCTCAATCTGTGCAATTAGTTTTATAATTAGTCTATGTTTAATACTCTAAATTAGTGTACAAACATCCGATGTCAAGATTTAAATATTACAATCATTAATCAATAATTTATTAAAAAAATAATTATAATAATATAAATTGGATATGGTTAGATTCCTAATTGATATGTTTATAATAATAAACAATATAAATAAATGAATTATTAAAATATAATTTTGAGAGGTTGTGCCATGTCAAATTGTGTTTTATAAGCAAGACTAATCAAGAGAGTATAACTAATATATGTTTCCCTTTCAGGCGAGAATTTATATATGCTCTATCCATTATTTATTGCAAGACTTGTTTTGACAATGGCCCCATTCGCTTCGCTGAAAAAATAAGTCAAAACACTGTTTCGGCTAATTTATTGTAAGAAAAAAATACTATTCTGACTGAAAAAAGATGTTGAAAAGTACGGATTATAAGAGAAGCGAACAGGGCCTATACGTGGGCATATCAGGTTAAGGTCCTCATTTAACCCCACAAAACCCCATAGCTCCTGAGATAGAAGCCGTATCTACGTCGAACTAAAATTTTTTTCGTTCGTTGGATCTCCCAATCCTACGGCCCAGGGCCCTACCGCAAGATCTTTCTAGAGTCGGCTTCTGATTACACTGTACGAATTCACCTGGCTCTTCGTCGCCTCCTTCTGTCCTCAGCGTATACTACTGGCTTCTGTGCAATAACAACGGTCCAGCATATATATACCTGAGATTCCAGCTTCTACCGTCTCTTCCCTGCTCTTCTCGTTGTTTCCATCCTCATCCGATTCCTTAGAGCCGCCGCCTGCCTCTGCTCATCGTCGCCGACCTCGCTGGTTCTGTACCTAGCTCAAGCTGCCGTCTGCCACCTTCCTAGTGTCGTCCAAGTTGTTGGCCGTGTGCGGGGGGGGGGGAGTCCCGCTTCTCTCCCCTCCTCTGTCTTCCTCGCTCTCCCTCTCACCCTCGCTCTCCCACACGGCATGCGCGATGGCGGCTGTTGCGAGCGGTCCGTGGCGACGCCAACCCTCCTCGTCCTCCCTCCCTCCTCTTCCTCTCCCTTTCTCCCCTTTCCTCCTGAGGCGGCAGCGGGCGCGAGGCGGCGGCGCCCCCTGCCGACGGCACGCACAGGCGCGGGGTGGAGCCCGACGGCCCCCTCCATCTCCCCCATCGTCCGCGATGTCTCCTCATTGCCTCCTACCGGGGAAGCGTGCTCTCCTATGGTTGGTGAAACCCTAGCGTGGCATAACCATCCAATTTAATCTAATCCCAAGTGTACTTGTCAGCCATTTGACACTAAATACACAAGAGATCAAGTTAAGCCTGGTAGTCTATCGAGTACACCCAACGAGAGAACTCGAAAATCCACGTTTTCATCAGAATCATAAACAAGTGAATAAAGCTTACAATATTCTTAACCATTTTATACATCACAAGCTTACAAAAATCAGAGTTTGATAGAATAGTTTTATAAAAGCAGCAGAAGAAAGATCTTTTTACAAAAGCAACGGAAGTTAACAACTTTGAACTTTGAGACAGAGGTAAAGATGTAAGAGTAAAATTATTACGATTGTAGCGGAAGGATTTCCTCGTTGAGCCCACCAGGAGGTATTCACACACAACAGTCAGCTCCAGCATCCACCTGCTACCTGCAATAGGGAGATAAAACCCTGAGTACACAATATACTCCGCAAGACTTACCCGACTAGGTGGGAGTAGTCTCCCGACTCTCAAGGATATGTAGGGGTTATTTGGGTTTCATTGTTTCTACATAGAAGCATTACTAATAGTGCACCCTTATATTCAAAGTTTTAGCAGTCACATCAAGTTTATTACTTAACCATTCTAAGTAAGCACCTGATCTACTTTCAAGCATGTGGTAAGCAATCATGACATATTTGATAATCCGACAGTAGCCTCATCATCATCTTCATGTTCCAATTGCATTAACTACGATAGTAGTGGTGCGACAAGTGGTATCCATATATGAGGAGGGCGGCGATTTGCAATCGATGTACATTGAGCTGGGCAATCCCAAACACACGCCCATACTTCTTGAAGGAGCAAGTACAAGGCTATCTTTTCTCTCGTACGACCCAGGTCTGAAAGCAACCCGACCATCCTAGGGAACCCACCCTATGAGGCCCATCCCATGAACCGACGATGGTTTTTCCCCTCATATGTTTTACCATGGACATCCCCCACCTCCAAACAACTCCTCAAATGGTCAGTATAACACTCCAATAAACTTTTTAGCGACCCTGAGTCGTTGAGAAGTACTTAGCTTCACGGTCAAGTGTAACTCAGGGCCCTATTATGTGTTCAGTACCTTCAAACTTGCCACATCGCTACGAACAGTACGGTCCTTAACCGACATAGGCGAAAAACGTGTACCTAGGGCCGTGCCCTGTTGCACCCACCAATTCCCCAACAAAAATCTATTTTCCACTTTTCGCTCGGTCTCCAATTATTATCCATCTCCGAATCCATGTGATAGTAGTAATATTATAACCATCACCTATTTCTCGTGAGTGACCGTCCATCGCTCGACTTCTACCATAGCCCTATAGCATGGCATACTACATGATTTCTGTCATACTAGTATGACTCATAGGATAGAATATTTATGTAGGTGGGTTTCAAGCAACTCCTGAAACTAATTAATGCACAAGCAACATAATAATAAGTGCTTTAAAAATATGGGTTATACACCGGGGCTTGTCTGGGTAAACCATCATTATACTATGTTAGTATTCTTGCATCTTCAGGACATGATCAACATCCTCCGTCTTCTAATTTGACCACCATTACACCGGCTTCTGGTTCTACTTCATAATCCACCAATTGATCCATCAACCATCATCGACCTAAGTGATATGCATAGATGCAATGCATGCTTCAGTCAAACAAGCATAACAAGATATTTACAAAACACTACAAGACAAGCAACACGTCATCACGGTGAAGGGTAACTAAACGTTGGAGGTTTGACTCTCATCCTCTCCTAGCGACTTACTTGCGAGTTACTATTATCACACAAGCGAGCAAAACAACCATTTGCATTTCAAACATACAAGTGAAAGCTTATCATAACATGCCAAACACACTTCTACTTACAATACACACTTTGCCAAGTCATCATGTAAAACAAGTAGTATAGACAATGTATATTAACCCTAATCTAAACACTTAACATATATAAAAGCTTTAATAATTATAAGCAAGGAATAAAATGGTGATGCACCAAACATCTCTTTTGGACATAAAAAAAATATTGGTGATTCATCTTAACTAAACATAACTATTGCATAAATTTCATAATTTCTGTATAAGCAGATTATTTACTAACAATTGATTAAGATTTAATGGTAATAAAAGTATGTGACACATGATAAATCAATAACTCAGTAAATAAACATTCATTGCATATGAAATTTTTACCAGAGCACACACACATCCATACTAGTTTACTATAAAAATTTTACTGCATTTGCACTACCCAAACATCCTCTATTAATTATACACAAAAAAACTTAGATTATTTATACAACAAAAACCTTACACTAAAGCATGCGATATTATATGTCTAATGCACAGATCTAGTCATGCGGAGTGTAACAAAATTGGTTTGACATTTTTATGATTTTTATGTGATTTACTATGAATTATAGAAGTTTCATCCTATTTACACATGAAAGAAAAAGAAAGCATGAAAAGGAAAACACGCTTTGCATCGGGAACACTGGATTTTCTCCAAATCTATATTTGCCCTTCCACCAAAACTTTGTCTCTGCTACCTTTACAATTGGAACCCTGTCCTTCTTTCTATTTCTCTTCTCGCGCCCTTCTTCTTCTCGATTACACGGAGTAGAGAACGCGCTCAGGCGGCTCGCCTCCGGCCAGTGGAGCTAAGATGGCGGCGACTTGACGGCCGAAGAGGCACACGGGGGCAGCGGTGGTCCTTGCCGTAGGTGCAGGAGGCCACGACACGCTCGATCGTAGCCCGCAGTGACGAGGCCACGC